AGCGAAAAATTTTACTAGAGATAGGTTGGATGGCCAGTTTGAATTTTTTTAATTTTTGAGGTAAACTGATGTTGTATGGGGGAAAATACGAATGTTTACTCTAACTGTAACACAAGAGAAATTTTTTAAAACTGAACTGATTCCGAATTTTATTTAAAATTTCTGAAATGAATTTGATTAACCTGGAATAGGAATAAAGTGCTAGCAAAAGTGTTATAATACTTTTGTGTAAACCTCCAGCCAAAGAAAAAAATTTAGCAATAACCATAAAGTTAAATCTGGTGGAGCTAACTAATAACTAGGGGATTTAAGTTTTTATGGATGACTTCCTAACCTTATCCCGCTATTATGCCCTAGTTCTGGGATTTAATTTCAGCACTAAAGTTGCCGAGATCAATGTTGACTTATTAGTTTGGGTAATTGGAGAAAATGAGGGTGTAGTATGACGTAATTGCGCACGATCTAAAACTTTAACAACTATCCTCCCTTGATCCCCAATTAAAAGGTTGAGTTATATATAATATGTTCTGGTAGCTCGATATGTTTATGCATAATTAGGTACTGCTAAAAATTTTCATTTTAGTGACAAAAATTTTTGAATTATTACCTTTTTTATTTACTATTTCTTCCGTATTTCTTATATTTTAATATAATAATAATTCGAATTATTAACTTTTTTATTTACTATTTCTTCCGTATTTCTTATATTTTAATATGTACAGCTGTGGACAATAAAGAGTTTCCTATCTAAACAGCGTATAAAGTCGGATTTTATTAATTTCGTTCCTTATATATTTTAATATAATAATAATTCGAATTATTAACTTTTTTATTTACTATTTCTTCCGTATTTCTTATATTTTAATATGTACAGCTGTGGACAATAAAGAGTTTCCTATCTAAACAGCGTATAAAGTCGGATTTTATTAATTTCGTTCCTTACACTTTTTCAGTAAATATCATTAGTTGTCTTGTGTCCCACTGACTGTTCTCTAAGACAATTTGATGTAAGGATATTACACCCCCATAAATTTAATAAATACATGATACTACATGATCAAATCCATCCACTCTTATCTAATAAACATCAAACGATTCGGTAATTGCAATTGCCAAAGCGACAGCGGGAGGATACGGTGATATTCCAAACCGCAACGCTCAAATAGATGCACTCCGCTGATATTACATAGATCACGCCGTTAAGATTGCAGTACTGTTAATAATTACATCTCCGCAACTATTGTTTATCATCGGTTGCCGCAGCTTCCAGTCTGCTGCACGTAAACACAAGGCAAGGAAGTCGGAAATTGCACTGATATGTCTGAACGATGATGTGCACGAAAACGCATCCGATGGATAAAGCAGATTCATGGACAATAGATATAAAAATGTATTCATTCGATTCAGATTCACTATCACTATCATCACTTATGCTAATATCAGTAATAAATTTCTCTATTGTATTCGTAATATCAATGTGTGAATTTTTCAACAGTTTTATCATGTGAAAGAAACACAGCTTCTCCAGCTGCTCACTATTTTGTTTGCTTTGTTAAGAATATGATCTAATACATTAGCAAACATAAATAGAGTAATATAATTGATATCACAATTTGTTTAATTTTATAATAAATCTACACAGAAAAAAATATTGAAAATTTACATTAACCATAATTTATATAGAAATTATAGTTTATGGCACACATTACCGGCAAATTGTATCTAAAGTATTGTATTTAACTACAATTTTGTTGAATATATTCACTTCCATTTTATTAGGATGCACATAATCATATTAAATACTAATAAAATTTTCTAGAAAAACTTCAGTTTGACATATCCATGGCAACACTTCATTTGTTTCTAGTTCAATAAAATTAAAAATCGAGCTCGAAGTACCCAGTCTTCAATAAGTTTCCAAGACAGAAACATTGTTATTTTGGTACCTGAAAAAACAAGTGAACATGAAAAGATCAACAAGTTTGTGAAAATTACCTATCCAGTCATCTGAAACGTGAAACATCAGTCACCACAAGAAATGTCAAATGTCATAAGCAATCAATGTTCATATATTGGCTGAAATCCATAAAAGTTTTTTATCACAACGAATAGTGAACCTAAAGTTTCCACACTATTTTGAACAAGCAAATATTGTGAAATTAATCAAATTGGTAAAATTATAAAGTGTAGTAAAGTAGTAACAGCACAGTGTTCTGCAAGTCACGTACGAGTTTCTAGACGACGATGCAGCGATACATGTGACCAGCATCATCAATCCAGAGTTCGAGCATGAAACCGGCGCAACGACAAAGAGAATTGTGAGTTGTCCAACGATCTATTTGGCTAAATATTAACACATTAAATTTCAAAATTACCGCATACTACGTATAATACATAAAATCAAATTTCATTTTTGAAAAAAATAAAACTTAATAAGTCGACATAAAAAAAATCTCAAGTCATAACATTGCAATTATTGATACAAAAAATGGGGGAATTTAATGTAATTATGTTATTTAGATTAAATATGAAAATTTGTCAATTATAAAGGTACATTCGAAAATAATATCCATATTTGTGAAACTTTAAATTTATCTTTCATTTTAAACTACTTTTAAGTGAAATCAGACAAGAATTAAAGGAAACCAGACCCTGTAGTTCAGTCAGTTCTACACAGTACAAAATTAATTACAACAAATTATATATTAAATTTAAATAAAAAAAAATATTATAAGATGCCCAAATAATAATATTCAAATAATAACAGTCAAATTAAAATTCAAACATTCCCAATCCAAATAAATCAAAACAACAAACACCGATAACAGAGCATAACAATAATGTATAAGTATTTGCATAATAGTTTGAAACAAAAAAGATTTTTCTACAGTAAACATTTCACATGGAACTTACTATAAAATATATAGGCATAGTACGTAATAGTAAGTACCAGCAAAAGTTAACAAAATAATAATTACTAAATCATAAGGGTTAATCGTCTCCGGTGATCGGTCACAGGTGTATATCTACAATAGTCGATGTTTTTAATAGATGCTATTTTTATTGATGATTGCGAAGCATCAACTACTTCACATTTTGGTAATTTCACTACCCGCGTTATTGTACAACATATCTGTCTCTAATCTGGACCTTTGCATCGATCAATTTATTCCATACACATCTAGCACCCCAATGCCTGCCCTGTCGGCCTAACGTGCCTATGAACAATCCAGGTTTTTTGCTAAGGGATGTTAGCCGTGCATTTTATTGTCGTTTGTACGTGTGTGAGTTTGACGCTTGGTCGAGTGTATGGCACATGTTTTTATGGCAGTCAGTAGCATTGCGTATCGTGAGCTTAGAGCGGCACACAGCTCGACCATAGATTTAGCCTATTTCTGATACTACAACCCGTATTGCCGTTTATAATATAGATTGCTATGTATGGTGGTGATATCTTTTAATTATTCAAAAATTTTTTTAGAGTAATTTCTATAAAGAATTGTAAATACTTTCTATTACAACAGGGCAATGTTATTAAATTTTATTGCAATAAAAGTAATATATTTTTGTGGAATTATACTTTATATACATATAATTACAAATGAAAAACAAAATTTTCGTTTGCCACTGAAAACTCGAGCAATTTATTCTAAAATTGAAACTTGTAGATTCCCAAAATCACAAAAATCTTTCATGGAAGGTAGGTTCTGTAATTGTCTGATTTGTTGCAACGAATATCCACCTCTATCTTGAAAAATAAAAGGGATTCTGGCAAGCCAAGGTCATTTTCAAGTTTTTCGTAATGGATTTTGTAACGTGCGACACCTTTACTGACTTTCAGGGCAGATTCGTTTTGTTTAACAACTTATACACTGAATTTATATATTCAATATGTTATGTTTATCTAAATTTTCAAGTACTCAAGCAACTTGCCTTAATATTTTTATGATATCTGGGCCAGTAACGATAACCAAGTACTTAATATAGTAAAATTCTCAAAATTATAATGTAGAAATATAGAACTCTAACAACAGGGATGTGTTACACTAAATATTTGTAAAATGAAAAATATAATTTAGCATATAGCATAAGTTTTATATATAAAAATGCATAATCGCTACAGGATAAAATCCATATGTCAAAATAAAGTTAATAATATAAAATTTTCAATTAAATAGTTTAATAAATGCAAAAATATATACTAGAAAATTAAAATGTATCACATAGTACAATTTTGTAAAGATTTTCACCAGATAGAAGCACTGGTCTAGGGAAATTTAAACAATCATGATTTTGACAGATAGATTTATCNTTTTTTTTTTCAAATTATTTTTGCACTTATGAGTTAAATTTAAAATTATCTCCTTTATACTATATGATATTCTTATTTGATACTTATTTTATATTCAGAGTCTTTGTATTAACAATTTTATGCTATTTTATTGTCTGCTATATTTTAATTAATTTTATTTTTGATCTAATGTTCGGTCAGGTAATATTTCCATTGTGATAATTTTTTTGTGTATTTCCAATTTGTTACAATATATATATATATTGTTATGATATCTGGGCCAATAACGATAACCAAGTACTCAATATAGTAAAATTCTCAAAATTATAATGTAGAAATATAGAACTCTAACAACAGGGATGTGTTACACTAAATATTTGTGAAATGAAAAATATAAATTAGCATATAGCATAAGTTTTATACATAAAAATGCAAAATCGCTACAGGATAAAATCCATGTCAAAATAAAGTTAATAATATAAAATTTTCAATTAAATAATTTAATAAATGCAAGAATATATACTAGAAAATTAAAATGTATCACCTAGTACAATTCTGTAAAGATTTTCACCAGATAGAAGCAATGGTTTAGGGAAATTTAAACAATCATGATTTTGACAGATAGATTTATCGGAGAACAATTTATCGTTGCACTTATAAATAAAAACCTTGTATTTAACTAAGACTATAATTAAAATTCAGCATACCTTTAATCTATATTTATGAGTGGAATCAAAATTAAAGTTCTGTATATGACTCTGAGAGCGATTTTCGAAATGTCAAACNTCCCAAAGCGCCGGAGCATCTGAAACTTCACAAAAAACTAATATGAAAGCGAACATGCTTCTCAATTGATATGGCATATCTCTAGAGCAAGCTTCTCTCAGAGTTCGTTTCCACTCAACGTCATCTGCCAATAAATTTCTGTGCTGGCAGGCTTCTTTAAAGGTGTCGTAAATGACCCCGTTTAGTGTACGTAACTCTTCGTAGGAGATTGCTCCAGGAACATGTAAAAGTAACAAACGTAAGTAATATAATTCCTGATTACGTATACTCACAGAGTACATTCGTGTTACAATTTTGTTAGCACCCCTTTGGCGACGGGTCCACCGTTTAGTTCTACTATTCCATACGTAATGATATGGAATGTCGGTGTACAGATATTGTCGGGCGTCGGGGTCATTCTGATTTAACAGAAACCATGCCGTTAGTTGGGTAATTTCATTATTTTCTAATGCTTGTATTTCGAATCCAGGTTGGAAACGAACCATTTGCCTGGTAGGTAGATGAACGCAAAGCCGATAAACGGTGTGGGTATTTTTATGGGTTTCAAATTGATTGATATGCCAACAGGCCTCCGGAGGAGTCATATACCGTGCGTTCAAGTAGTTTTCTACCTCATTATAATTCGCTTGATTTTCTACGTTAATGCGAACTAATGCCAGATCTACACCTTTAAATAAGTATTTATAAAGGTATTTAACGCATTGGGTAGTAGCGCAAGCCTCTATATTAATATGGCATTTATACTTTAATAGGATATAGGGATTGTAAGGAACTATCCAACGATTGTCTAAAATACAGTTTATGTTATTAGATCGAACTGTTAAAGTTCTGCCGTTGTTTGGTCTTTTATAAGAGACTTGCCCTTTTTCTGATATTGCTGTAAGTTCACTGAATTCTTTAGGATACTTTTTAGAACATTGGACATTCACCATACAAACGGAGTCTGGGTTTAATTCTCCACAAGGGCCGTGTACCATGAAAGAGGTTACTATTTCATATAGTTCTGGTTCTAATTGCGGATGGTATTTCTGCACTAATGAATGCATCAATTCTGCGAGGGTCTGTTAATTTATCTTCGTCTCTTAAGCCGGCCACTCACGTTCCGGTATACCTGTTCAGGTAAACATGACAAGTTAACCTGAACTTGACTTTGTCCATATACGTAGCGGCGTACCTGAAAGCAATTCTCAGTTGGGCTTTCAATCATGTCCGTACAACGCGACTACGACGATACTGTAGCGTTAGTAGGTCTTCTTCTCCTCCTAGGGAAAAAACAAAGAAAATCGCGACAAAAGTGGTGTAAAGAATGGTTATTACAAAGACATGAATACAGTCACGTTAAGTTTCTAGAAGAATTAAACGCAGAGCCTAAAGATTATCGCAATTATTTAAGAATGGATGAAACAACTTACCTAAAGCTATTATCAATAGTTACACCTTTAATTCCGAAGCAGGATACTGTCATGAGAAAAGCTATATCGTCACATGAACGTCTGACAGCAACATTACGATTTCTTGCAACAGGCAGGACATACGAATGCCTCAAATTCTCTACTAGAATATCACCGCAAGCTCTAGGCAAAATCATTCCAGAGACATGTGATGCCATTTATAAAACTTTACGGAAGGATTATCTGAAGGTGTGTATAATAAGACGAACTTTGTTCGGGTAAGTTATTTATTAAGAAATCCTACAATTGTAGGTACTCGTAAATAAAAACATATTTTCAAAATATTTACTTTATATGTCAGTATAAGTGGCAAAATAAGGTGGCTGATCGGGTGCAGGACGCTTGAAATGGTCTCTCACCGAAAGTAACACGTCAGTGGTTAACGCCTCTTGTCCACTTTTCTTTTTAGCAGGTCTTGTTGCTTGTGTGTGTTGTTTGAGAACGTTCTTGCATCCTAGATGTAGAACCATCTGTAGCATTTTCTTCAGAATCGCCTACATTATATTCTGCACCATTATCCTGAAACAATAAATTAATATTAGGTTCTGATTATATTACCATACAAATTTAACCCTTTTCATATACTATCCGTTTTACTTTACTTTGACTCACCTGTACATTTTTTTTCAGTTTCCTGACTCCTTTGACGAATGGAAAGAAATAGCGCGTCTCTTTGAAAAGCAATGGAATTTTCCGCATTGCTTAGGGGCCATTGATGGCAAACACGTTGACATAGTTACACCTGCTGGCTGTGGATCGTATTATTTCAGTTATAAAAATCGCCACAGCATAGTCCTCTTGGCAGTAGTGGATGCCAGATACCCATTCATATTAGCTGATGTAGGTACAAATGGACAAATTTCCGATGGGGGTGTATTACAGAATACTAAGTTTTTCGAAAAAATGCAATGTAAAACATTAAAAATCCCAAGACCAGAAGATGTTGCCAATAGCTCTAAATGTCTCCCATGTGCCTTTGCTTCCGATGATGCATTTCCATTAGGACCCAATATGCTAAAGCCATTTCGACAAACGGATTTGGATACACGATTAAAAAATTTTTAATTATCGTTTGTCTCGTGCGAGACATATTGTGGAGAACGCTTTCGATATAATGGCTTCACGATTTCGAATATATCATACCAGAATTAATTTAGACGTACAAAACATCGATAAAGTAGTAATGGCCACGTGCGTCCTGCATAATTTTTTAATAACGCATCAAATTCCTATGCACAGAAAATTGTGTTTATAAAGAAAATACTGAAAACGGGACTGTCATTTCTACAGGCTATAACACTGCAAGTTCTAACATGNGAATGATTCATAATTTTGATATCGAAACTGGTAAACGGTTTTTCGCAAATGTGACACAATTTCGCGTTGTCATGTTCGAATTTTTGCGCGGCAGTCAAAGGCTCCATGGGCTTTGGGTGAGATAGGATGTTATTCCTCTCGTCGGCAATATGTTCAAGTTCCCGGACGAACCACTCCTGGCAATCACTACCCCGATACAATTTAAAACACGAGAGACTATCGTCATATGAACATTTAATATAATAGGCGACACTAAACGCGGTATGTTTTGTACATTTTGAGTGTTTAAATTTAGATCAGTGTTCTCGTCACACGGTTCCAAAATGCATTCAAAATCTGCATCTGTATAAACGATGAACTATACCCTCTCTTTAAAACGATAATTTTTAAATTGTAAACATTTTTCTTGCTCACTCGGTAGCTCTACTTTGCAAGTATTTGTTCTATAATTGCAATATATTAAATGATCATCTAAAAGACGCTGCTCTGTGAAATGATTGAGACAACGATTGCAAATATGTTGTTGACCGTGGTGTTTAGATATTTGTTTGAATAATAAGCGTGACATGTTTTTTATCCACGTAAAGTGATAAACAGGTGTTTCATCGTCATCGTTGTCGCTATCTTGAACCGAATTTGCCGGGACCATTAGTAAATTTATAACTAGTTTGCTATCGCTTTTACTCAAGCATACCGGTAGGACTTCCTTCTTATCAATGCCGTACACATTAATTGCCAAGTTATTTAGACGCTCTAATTTTGGGATTTGTTTTATTGTTATTGGAAATTCTATGCCGTCAAATTTTAATATGTCACGAAAATCGGGATATGACCAACTTCTAACTGCATGTGCTTTAGCTGGATGTAGAGCAGAGACTATGCTCCATAAAACACAATATTCATCATTATTTTTTACGTTAACACATTTTTTTCTTTTAATAAACTCGGGCATTTCGACGTACGTTGACGAGCCCACGGTAATCGGTGAATAATTATTTATATTTACACGTAACCCGATAATTTCCAACAAAGTCCAGCTGCTATTACGATGTTCAAAGTTTTCTAGTTTGTGTAGTATAGGTTGAACAACATTGTCTTCCCACCACTGTTTTATATTTGTACTGCGGTCAATAATTTCGTTTTTTGTCCCGAATGATTTTAAATCTACTTCCCCGTCATTTAATTTCATGAAATTTCCTTCAAAAACTAAATTTACTTTAATTAACGAGTCTTTTAATGCATTTTTCGCTTTTATGGAAAAACTACGAAATGATTTTTTTAGAAACTGTTTAGGTTCCTTGAGACTAACGTTCACGATGATTCCCGACCGCACACGACTCTTGAAGCACGATTTCACATCTTGCCACACCAAATTCTTCTTGTTGGGACGCACTACCGAACCTCCGGACACTTTATTTTTAATTTTCAGTTGTTTTAGCTGTTCACGATAATATTTCAGCACCGCCAAATTGTTTTCCAAACGGAATATATTCTCGTTCTTATCAATCTTGTGAATTTTAATTTTGATGGCCTCGTTTAATACACCGATATTTTTATTTATAATTTTGATGTGTCTGTTGATCTCGTCATCGGTCTTCAACAGAGTCAACGATTTTTTGGTCAGTTTAATAATTTTACAGCTGACATCACACACGGTCTCGGCAACTGACATTTTGTATTTCAATAAAAAAAGTTTAACACGACTTTGAAAAGCAAACAAAACAATCACGTGCACTCGAACAAATTTCGAAAGCAAATGAGACCTTTTCACGAGTCCACAGGCTTTTATAGTCGACGCGTTCGGCTATTTCCGGTTATAACCGGTTATTTCCGGTTATATCCAGTTTTGCATCAAAAGCCTCTGAAACGCTGGACAGATAAAGCCATTGCACAACATTATGCAATATTATGAAATATTTCATCAGCCGCTTATCTACAAGTTCCCACGCTAGGACCACAGCTACAGGGTGAAACTGGTTTAAAAGCCAGACAAAATTCCAAGAAAAGGGTAATAAATCATGTATTTGTTTACATAACAGTAATATAAACAACGCTTTGGTCACGTATTTTCCAAGAAATACATCTATATATTATATCTCCGAGAAAAAATTATGGCGCATACCGCCTTTGAAGTTTGTTTACATAACTGCTTAAGAGCCCGACAAAATTCCAAGAAAAAGGTAATAAATCATACATTTGTTTACATAACTGTAATAAAAACAACACCTGTGCCAGAAATGGTGATGACGTCATCATTGTTTTCCAAGAACGTGAGTCATGCCAACCTCTACAATAAAAAATAGCTGTTATAATTTTTTCCAAATAATTCAAATGTAAAATTCATTTAAAACACCTTTCGGTGGACACCCTGTATATGCATACTCTAATAATAGCATAAACTAACCTTTCCCAACTGATATTTATACGTAAATATTCGATTGTCGGCGTAATATTATTTTATGCGATAATAACTATATGATCAAAATTTGTTTACTTTATAGTCACGTTCTCATATGAAGTCGGAGAAATATGTTTAGTGTATTAAAAAATAAAACTTTTATGCATCCAAGAGGGGGTATCAAAGCAAACGCTAAAACTGGACAACTCATATGTGTTGATTTGACATGGGATTTATTTTTTAAATGATATTTTTACCATGAGTACTTTTAGTCGATTTTTATCTGAAGCCTCCGCTTTGTTTATATTACCATCTTATCTGGTATTAGTCATACACAGCTGTGGCCACATTCCAGGAAAGTTACATCATCATGTTGTTGTTATCTAGCGCGCGCTCGTTTCTTATATTTTCTACATTATAACAAAAAGATTAATACCAAGAGGTCGTCACCGCTGCCGCCGCCGCCCCCTGCAGCCCGCTACCGGCTTCCAGCATCGTAGGCCGTATCCGGCCGCCTGCTCCCCCCTATAACGCAGGCATCCCGCTGTTACCCCACACGCCGGCACCCCGCCGCCGCCCCACGCGCCTGCACCCCGCTGCGCCCCGCCGCTGCTCATGCACGCACCTGGTGCCGCCTCTGACGTCACGCTCCTCGATACCGGCCTCCTGGTGGTCATTGCCGATGACGGACCCCGGCTTCTACTTTTGCAATCCAGATCCCCCACCCTCGCACCCTACTAACACTTCTTCAGCGTGACCATGGAGTTGCTGCTGGAGACCTGGTGCTAGCTTCGGATGGCGGCAGCCCGGTGGTGACCTTGAAGTGGTCCAAAGTGCCCACTGTTTAACTACTGTTTATCTTTATGAACGGTCGTTATGT